CCAGGGACCCAGTGGTGTAAGGCAGAAATGCTAACAATTGTGCCACTGTGCTACCTTAATTAGAACTGCCCATTAGTTATTTTTCATTGAGGTAACAAGCAAAGGTTAATGTTTCTTGTATTCTGTGTTCACTCAGCAGAAAAAAAAAACCCTTCCTAGATTTGTTTTTCCTTTGCTTTTGAATATCCACTACTTGAAACAACTGCCTGGAAAAAGCCAAATCTTATTTTAATTAAAATGAATAACTATGTCAAAATGTACAATGATTTAAACCTGTGATCTTGATTTTTTATGTTACGTCTCCCGTAGGTGTGCAATAGCATCAGAGAAAGTATGACACATGGAATTGTATGAGAAGAATAACTTTGAGAAGAAGCTTAGATCCTAACCTCACACACTCCTGCTCGCCTGAGTACTGTAGATCCGATCAAAAGTAATTCAAATAATGTAGTTTGTGTAGTAAATCGTGTAGTTCAAATAATCCTTCCATTTTCTGACTTCATCCAGTTCAGGGTTGTTTACGGGAGCAGGAGTTTGTTTCACTTAAGCAGTTCAAATAATATGCCACATAAATTAACATGTAAAGATTTACTTTAGCTTCTCTTCAGTCTGCTGCGACCTTATTTTGTTGTACCACAGACCTGTGCCATCTGACAAGTTAATGACATCACTACATTGTCACTTTTATTTAGTTCCCGCTTGCCTGCATTGACATTATGGTAACTCTTATCTGCTGAACTTCACAACGGAATTCCTAGCAGAACGTGAATCTGCTGGGGCTTACTTCAGGGATGATATACAGGTTCTGAAATGCTGTTGAATTTCAGCATCTTTCTCATAGGACTTGAGTAAACTGTTGGCGTCATCATGTTGATAGCAATAGATTTTATAGACTTCCTCTAATGCCTCTTTGCTCTGTATGAAGGTTTCACCTAGAAGACAAAAGGCAATATCCATTGATGCATCAAAACAAACAAATCCAGCTGTAATTTCGTGTCACTGGACAGGCGTTAGGCAAAGTGCAATTGACCTAATTGTCAGAAGCAGTAAGTCTTACAGTAGCAGACAAGAAGGCTTTGAAAACATAAACATTATTTAGTGCACTGTACAGTACCATACCTTAAATTATTATCCTTTTCAAATTGAAATCATGGAAATACAATTAAACCTTTCGGCTAAATCTTTTTGTTGAGTTTTTAGTATGTTACTCAAGGCACAGCCATAAATTATGTTTTCTGAACTGTCTTTTTTAGCTGTAATTGTTTCAAAATCTTGCCAAATAAACCTCTTTTTCTATTAAGTACCACATTTAGATATTAAGAATGAATATTCTGTATGTGGGTGATCAGAAGAAATACTGTAGAGCTTGATATGTCAATTCAGAAAGTAAAAAAAATATATATTATAATTATGCCGCAAACACTTCATTTCTCAGTGCCTATGTTTGAACTGTGTTTCATTGGCTGCAGAGAAATGCCTCTTTTTGAAGAAAACCAGATCTCTACACTACATTGAAAGGCAGGAAAATAACTATCATTAATAATGTCGCTGACACAGTTAGGGAGACAGCTGTAGATCTACTGAAATCAGATGTTCTGCTGCGTTTTTGTGGGCACAGCTATGCAGATTCAGTATGTGTTCTTGTGATCATCACATGTAAGACTTCAACACTCCAAACAACTTTGAAACCACACCCCATCAGATGGTTGGTATCTGTTTTCTTTTATACAGTAGGTACTGTAATTCTTTGGTGCCAACTAAGAGAGGCATGATACCATACATCCATTTACAGTCACTAATTTAATAAATTTAACCTAAGAGGGCCAAAGTGAATTGGAGGACATCTTAGATGGGACATACAGTACAGTACACATGCAAACAGAGGGAACTTTAGAAATGTCAATTAGTATGGACAGCATGTGTTTGGACTGAAACCGGAGGAAACTGGAGCCTCCAAGTGCATAAGGCACGAACAACTCTACACATAAGGCACCCCAGGTTGGACCTGAGCACAGGACATGACAGCTGTTAGGCAGCAGTGCTAATTGCCACGCCTGCAGTCTACATATAATATAATAAACAGTGGCCAGACTGAAAGAGCCAGAGCACTGCCAGGACGTACTTATTATCTGAGTTTCGGGGTCTTGTTCTTCAGTAGCATCCTGCAGCCTACTGAGCAACTCAGCTGACACCTTGCGGACGGACTCGATGTTTGTGAAGAGGCGGTCCACATCCACCACCTAAGGGAAGAAATGAAAGCAGTCATCCAGCCAGCTAAGTGGTCGATACAGTGCCTGCTCCAATAACCATTCTGTCTGATAATTCCTTATTTTCGGATCACAATGAAGTTTGCCCACAATTCCTCTAGTATTCAGCCTCCTCCTGCCTCACAGTTAACCTGGGAGAAATATATGTTTTTTTGGCAAAATCAGCCCTATTGATGACATTTTTTCTCCTGCATCACAGGAGAAATTCACAGAGGGATAAAAACTGAATTGTATACTGCACATTTAAAAAGCGAAAGAGAAAAGCTACCCCTGACCTCTAAATCACCCTCACTGTACAGTAAGTAAAAAATAATATGCTTTAGAAAATACAGATGAACTAATAAAACAAGTTAATAATATGGGATACAGTATGTTGCACAGGATCTGGACTTTGAAAAGTAACTAAACTAAATTGTTACTGTACGATTTTGCACCATTTTCTTTATAAAATCAAGTGAAAAATCAGAAGGGTAATGAGAAGAACAGAACCTAGTTATGATTTTGCTTCATTTATACTTTCATTTAATACCAACCAAGTGACCTTCGTTTGGACTGTTGGGGGTGTTACAGGTTACTTGATGATGACAAGAATTTATTTTTTATACACAAAGATAACGCTAGATCTGTCTGCTCTCTGAATAAAAGTGAAATAACCAAACAAATGAAATAATTTTAGTGAACAACTCAGCAGTTTTAGTTTTTATATCTTTGGATTCCCCCTGGAAATAAGCAAGGAGAAAATGATCCCATTGCCTGCCATACAAATAATGCACTACAATATTAATTATATTACAGTGTATGAGAGGCTGCCCCTGTAGGCTAGTTCATTAAGTGGAAATACATGTGCTGCTGTATTATTATTACCTTTGAACTGTGACATTATTTAACTTTTTCTTGTGCAGCTGTAGATGGGAAAAGATTCCTACAGAAATTACATTACTCTCTCATTAAAGTCATTGCTTTTTGTCTTGGTTATTAATGCCCATATAGTACATTATACACAATGTATGAACATATATGATATGGTATCTCCTATGAAATTCCCAGAAACCACTTTATTTACTGTAGATGTTTTTAACCAAGGAAACCTGTTGTAAATTGAAGAACTGTGGTTTTATAAACACCTGTTCGTATAGATTCTTCTACAGTTCTATAAGGAAGAGTAAGAGAATAAAGAAAGTACCTGTGCTTCTTTCAAAGGCTCAACCACCTCTTTGATGCAGTGTTCCAGGTCAGTGAGATAGTCTTTTTCAGTCTGAATTAGTTCATTGATGACTTTAGACCTTCTTGACATTTTTCTTAACCTCACTTCCTCTGGATTGAGGGCTGGAGAAGCAGGGGAGGCTGGCGCAGATCTCTCCTGAGGGGCCATTTTCTCTGCAGGCACAAACACAAGCCAGAAACATCAACTGACTGCATCTTCACACAGAAGGGCACCGTCAATCACAAAGAACACTGGCTATACTATGCTATGAAATGGAAATAATATGTTACATTTGATATTTTTAAAAGCTCCAACTTCAGGCGTCAGTCGAACTAAAAAGGATTAAATGTTTTTTACATACGGTAGATAATAAAGGTTAGCCGGTGCAGCATTATGTCCGGATAGTACCTACAGAACTGTATTTCATTTCCAGACCTAATGAAAACAGGTCAGTTTAGTATATAATTTTATACCTTTAAAAGATTGAATTTGAAAGAAAAATTTCTGTTTTTATAGATGCAAAAGAGATCACTGTTCCTGTCAGAAATGAATTGGCAATTACACTGGAAAGCTTCAAATAAATGACCTAGAGGAAAATGAAGGGACAGACAACATAAGACTGAGAACAGGAGGCACGTCTTTACACAAACAGTTGTGGGAGTCTGAAGCAAGCCGCTCAGCCAGGCTGTCAAAGCTGATAGTCTGGCTTTCTTCGTTAGAAAAATCACCTAGCAACCCATCAAGATGAATAGCTTCCTCTATTTTGTAACCTTTGCATTGTTGATGCTCTAGTTTCCATGTCCACATGAGCACCTAAAGACACCCATCGCTTTCTGCTCCACTTTGTGCAAAACATCATATTTTTTAATAATGGTGTTTAGTTAAACAGAAGAAGGCCAAATCTGTACGCGTACAACTCCTTGGTTGAACATGACACTGTGTGTATCATTTCTGGCCCCCTTACTTCTAGTCCAACTTCAGCGCTGCAAATGTTTCTCCCTGGCTCAACCTTCAGAGGTGAGGGGGGTTGTGGCAGCACTGATGTCTGACCAAACCTGTCATTTCCTCAGCTAGGCAAGTGGGGATACCATGGTTCCTGGGATGAAAATGCCATGAAATGCCAAGTTGTAATTAATTGTGTAATTATGAGGCCAGAATGCAATCTCCAGTGCCTATAGGGAACTAAAATAAATTACAATTCGAAGTCTTATGGAGTGTTCAGGAAGATGTACAGTAGGAGTGTCAGGATTGAACCACACATGGAACAAATAGGACACTAGTCTTATTTTGGAGAAAGAGAATAAATAAATCTGAATACCAGGGTATCTAAATCATTGAAGTAGTGAAAAAATCAAAAGCAAGACAGTTTTCTTCTTTACAAAATTTAAAGACAGTAAATCTAACTAGGATCAATCAACCAAGAATAGTAAGCAGATGAAGTAGGAATTTTCATATAAAAATATTCCATCAGCATTGAGTGATATGCAATGTAGAATTTTGTTAACATAAAACATTCTCAGTAAATATTTTGAAAATATATTTTCCCTTTTATGCCTTGAATTTTTTACATTTGATATATATTTCCTTTCATTGATTATTTTGTTCTCAATGCTGTTTGTGATGAAATAGAGCTTTAAAAATAACATTTAATCTTATATAGATATTTCTGTATTGACCTAAAGCCCCTGCTAATTATGTCTTCAATCAAGTGCGGGTAACTAACGTCCGACAAAGACACAGAATCAGCAAACCAAAGCGTTATTTACCATTTCCATACAGTATCTGTCAAGTTCCCATGATAATTGGCCAGCAGATTTGCATAATTCATACTGTTAAACTAGCAATGCAGCATGGGAGGAGTGTCAAAGAAGGAGGCCACCCCCTGTGGAGGAATCTATGAATTGTTCCTGATATAAAGCTACTGTAGGCTGTCCAGTCCTGATCCTTGTGGGCATGGAGTACGGGGTTTCATTACAACTCTTAACAGCCTTGGTCAGATCATTATTAGCTTAATTAGACCAGCTTAACAACGTCTCCCAGTGTTTTGGGTGCTGATGCTTTAAAGAGACCTAGAAAACCTGCAGACACACTGGTCCTCCAGGACCAGGTTTGGACATTCCTGCTGTAGAGGCTGCGGTGATGTATTGCCGTGCCTTATAAGCTGAATATCATCAACCTTGATGGCCAAAGATGGTGTTCAATCATGCCTGTGTTCTGTAGTGCATGTGTGACATGTGCAAATGGCTGACTTGCAATATTGAAAGACATTTACAGTATGCAAATACACACCTAGTCACATGAAGAAAGTACATTGAGCTACTTTCTCACGGTGAACAGGTGCCCCAATAGTAATACACCTGTGTGTTGAGTGCACCGACCCATAACACTTTTCTGAAGAGACAAACAGCTGCATACTGTGGCTTTCCTCCTACAGTATATCCCAAATATGGAAAGATACATTGTGCTTTCCATACGAAGCTTAAGATACATCTTCACACTTGCTGTTCACCCCTAAGAGTAGAAAGGACATACACTTCTCACTCTTGTGAATGCTATTGTATTCCTTTATCTGATGCTTATTACATGTAATTTTTTTGTTATAAGTGAAGATACTTTTGCACATTTGGCACCTAACGCTGTACCAGAATCATCCTTAATACAAACAACAGACTTTCAATCACATTGAAATCACTTTCAATCACAGTACCCAGATACTACGTGAACGTACCCTGTTCCTGAGAAACAGGCATGATGAATTTCAAATCTGTGATATCACACTTTTTAAAACCAGCAGCTTTTGTTTCTTTATTAAAATATATGGAAACTGGAGCATTAATTGCTGCCAATAATATTAAAAAAGGAAAGCTGCAAATCTTTCTTTATTCTGAAAAGGTGCATAATTAAAATGTTCACTTTCTTGCACATTCAGACATTCAAGTTTGTGTGAGTCATTATTTTCAAATACAGGTATTCGGTACACTTTGTGCCACACAATCGCATGTTTTATGGCTTCCAGCAGCTCCAGTGATCTAATTCTTTGACAGACAGTTCCGTTTAGTATAACAGTCAGGATTTTATCAAACGTTGATGTCTTTTAGCTGCCTGCCCGCCTGCCACAGAGAACTAAGCAGTCGCACAAATTCAGGAAGAAGGATGATTTCATGCAGCAATTAGCTCCCTCTGCGCAGACGACTTCCGCCTTTCTGTATGAGCTCGGAGCCTGGTGTCAGGTTACGAACTAATCACCTGGGTGATGTAATACTTCGGCTTGCTGAGGCATTCCATCTGTTACAGCTGGGCGAGCACCTGATACAAATACTCCATGTAATTCAGACTGCGTGTGCTTTATCTACCGTACAGTGTACTGTATATTTTATAAAATGTGTCTGCTAGAGTATATGATTTTTTACTGCCTTTGGATTTCTGTAAGGGACTTCTTAAAACGTCAGAATCTGCATCAAATCCCATCTAATTGTGTCCGTGAATTAAACTGTCTTGAAGGTTGGACTGCTTACTCAAAATCAAATAACGTTTTATTTCAACGAAATTTCAAGCAAATGGTCCTGATCCTTTATTAATAGCTATGAGAGATAAGCAGTGTTTTGGAAATTTAAAATACACTTTAAATTTCTTTTAAATGTAGTTTTTAAAATACTTTTTACTTTGACATTTGGCTAAATGCATCAAAGAAACACAGAGCACTGAAGTTATGTATAGGAAGTATAATCAGTTTTGAAGCACTAATATATAAGAAAGGTTATGAATAATAAATGTATAATCTCTTCCCCATACCTTAAGCAGTTTGCTAATTAGCAGGGCACAATAAATCATGTTTTAGATTAACTGCATCTAATATCTACACTGCATAGCATATCTAGAATGCTCGATATATATACAAGCAGTAGCTGCAGATCAGGAAGTTTCAGCATTTCCTGGTCTTGACACAATTATTGGAGATTATAGAGAGATGATGTAACAGAAAAAATGTAACCTTTCTAAAGAAATTCAGGAACAGGTTTCTTAGATTCTTTCACTTTTATTCTGAAATCTTGAATTTCTTTGCTCATTTGGGCTAATGCAGTAGCTATTGTATTAGTTGAATGAAAAGCAAGAAACGCATAAACTGAGAAATTGAGGAGGGTGTGTTCTCTCTTCACTCTTTCAGTCAGTTCAGGGTTTACTTATTGAGCTAAAATACAAACTCATTAAACAGGCTTTCTGTTCTGAATAGCAGTCATTCATATGCAGCAGGTCCTGAAGAACATTTAAGGCTTTTGAATATCTCTGATCTAAAACTAAGCAGCAATTAAGACGTTTTCAATAAACTCTTCAGCCTGAAAAGGAGAACTGTTGGTCTATCCTGACTTTACAAAATCCAGCAAAACTAGAATAGCAACAAATTAAATAAAGAGGACCTGTTCAGCACAGACCAGAGTACAACTGGACCATGGTCTCATACAGGAAGCAAGGCCTTTAAAAGCAGCTCAATAAGAGACATCTGAACACTGTTCACAGAGCATGTCTGTTATAAATTCAACCCCTTTGCTAAAAGCAACGTCCCTGTGTTCACTTTAAGAGCCTTAATTCTCAGGAAAATCTTAGGACATCTTTATCAGGAGGTACTGTCCATAAGCTTTTTTTTAAAAATCATCTGCTACTCATGTATTTTTCTTTCCTTAAACCTGTACATATTTTGTAGCCAAATCATTAAAGTTTAGCTTTCTCCCACATATATTTCTGCAGGACTGAAGATAGTTTTAGATGTCCCGAGATATTTAGGGACAGGAAAAATGCTACCTCCACAGCAGGTCAGGATTTTAATTCACTTGTCTCACTTTCCACTATTATGTGATTTGTGGCTTCATTTCAAAACTCAGCTGTTCCCATGAAAGTGGATATCATCCCCTGATTACGCTCTTCATTGAAGTGTTTTAACTAAAGCTCCTGAAATGGGTAGATTAGACCCCACATTGTTTCGACCAAAAAAATCAACCTGAGAAACAGGATTGTCTCTAAAAAGAATCTAAGGATTTGGCTCCTGGATTGCTGCCACTGACCTGAGAATGTTTGCCTATATACGTTTTCCTGTAACTCTTATAAGTGTGAATGCACTAAACTACTGTATGTGAAAGAAAATTGCTTTTTTTTCCTTTTACCTTAAAAATAAAAGCATATACTCTCAGTGAATCTCTGTTTCATTCATTAGAAAAAGTATACATAATATATCAGAACATAAAAGAGTTCTAGATTGAAAAAAGGCAAATAAAGAGGTTAATGAATATAGTCACTGTATATTGTATGAAAAAACATGATATTCTACATGGCATGTAGATGTTTCCATATGCTATTTACAGTAAATACAAGGAATTTGTGGTGTAGTCCTAGAAAATGGGACTGATTTTAAGCTGAGGAAAATACCTACTTTTTCATCTGCATTTCTGAATGGTGATCATGGGGCTACTACAGTATGTTTGGAATCCTGTGGTTTGCATCTTCCATAAAAGGCACTGGGTTTTAATGAATTTAGAAGAGTCTTAGAGGTTCTCCTGCTCATATATACTGTAGGTTGCTAAAGGTCATGTATTGCATAATTATATTTTAACTCTTATTCTGAAATTTGCTGACTTTCAGTGTAGTGAATTCCAGGGTCCACCTATTCGATGACTGAGCCTGCTTGAGTGGAATTCATTGCCCAGATCCATTAGAGGCTCTGTCTGTCTCCATTTTTCACTATAATTCATTATCTTGTTTTACTCTTAACTGAGTATCTTGTTATTACTGTGAAGTTCCCACTTTCTTTCTGTTACTGCTATGTTCTATCCACGTTTTGTTTTAGAGCAAGTTACGTTTCTTGAAAAGTTAATGAAATGACATTATTATCATAATAAGCAGTGTTTCCATTGTGAATTCACACTTGATATTATTCTTTCCAGGTGAGGTTGTTTTTGTTCCTACTCAGCTCTCAAGTGTCTCCTTAAATTAGATATGAGTTAAATCAGAAATTAATTGTTGTTAATGTCTAAGGCAGATGATGTTTTGGAAACACTGACATACTGTACCTGTTGAACTAATTTATTTTATATTTGGAAAATGGAGATTATACACCCTGATGGCCAATCATAATATTTTATTAGCTAATTTGGTAACTTAAATGTATTTGAATATCTCTCATACAACCTTAACTTAGTTTTTGCAACTAATTATTTTGAATTATATTAGGCTGCAAACATTCTTAAATGCTACTTCAACAACAACAATTTTACTTCCCTGCAGTTACATGTCTTTTGAAAAGACTAAAGAAGGATTTTTGACTGAAAATCCTGAAACAATTGATTCTTAAAAACATTAACCTTTTGTACATCAACAAAACTTCCTTGTCTTTTTCAGTTATTTATAGTTCTACTGACTCTATTTTTTTTTAAAAAGACTGATATACAGTACAAGCAAGCAAGCTGAAGGGAAACTTAAACCAGCCTGGTAATGAATAGTTTGAAGTAGAAATAATGCATCTATTGTGACACTTTAAACATAAGAGTGCCATTCACAACAAAAATAATAAGCACCACTGTACAGAGCAGGATGTGAAACTCTATACTCTACACTACAGTACTAGACAAGAAATGCCCCATGATCCTGGTATAAAACACCAGGGTAACACTTGTTGGTAGAATTTCCTTATTGTTGGCTGTGGACTGTGAGGTGCTAACAGTAGTTTTACCAAGCATTATGGCTTGTATCTGCCTAAAGCACTACATTCCGACAAGAGAAATAAGCTGATGGATTACTTCCTAAAACTCTGCCGTAGGTTTAAAGCAGAAGCATCACTTACAGCTGGTAAATACAAGGCCTTTTGTAAGCAATGTGAAAAAGCTTCCCTGCAAAACCTGATTTAAATGGCTGTCTGAAACAAAAATGCAAGTGGACTTGTTTTAATCTGAATGGCATTAATAGAAGAGGACCTTTTATCTTTTTTAGAGATCTGCATTAAATGTGGTTTTTCTTGATGAGTTTAAGGAGGTTTTAAAAAACAATCCAAGAAAAGGAGGAACTTCTGTCTTTACTTCACACTGCTGAAAATTACATGAAACAGTACTGTCACTGATACAGATGGCAAAATATACAAGTACAAGAAACATGTATAACAAATACAAGAAAGTGTTAATATGTGTGAATGTAATGTACGCATTTCCATTTTACTATAGTTGTATTCTCACATTGCGTACATTTACAACCTTAAACCTTTAAAACATTTTTATCAATAAAGTAAATTGCCTTCTTTGTTGATATGAATGTAAAATGTTAACATTAATACATCCAGTCACTTATTTGACAAAGCTGTGTATCTTTTTGTATTTCTTATTGTTTTCTGTCTACATTTGCATAAATGACATCATTCCCTCAGGAATAATCCCTGTGCTGTTACATAACAACACCACAGGACCAAAGGTGGAAAAAAAACTTTCTCAGGTTTTTTTCTCATCTCAGTCTTTTTCCAGGGAGACAAAAATATAGTGCCCTGTAACTTTTAAATTACATCCTAATGACAAATACCGTTTTCCATACAATGGCACTTCTCAACATAAGGAACTAATCACAAATTCAATGTAGTATATACATGACAAAGATCACCAACACCTAAAGCAGACACAGAAATGTTGTAAGGTCTCAATATTTGTGATTACCTTTAAGTTTTATGCTGTATTCTGTCCTGTCTGACTGGCTTCTTCTTACCAGCGTTCCTATATTTATGTCCCCTTTGGAGTTGTCCTCAGCCACAATAGTGTCTGTTTTTCTTCTTTCAAGGTACATCTTCGGTTTAAGGAAGAGGCCTTTTCTCCTTTTAAATCCTTTAAAGTCATTTTCCTTGACTTCCTTGGGATCCATGGTGGGGATCCTCAGGTATTCCCTTCCCAGCTTGCCCTTACCTGAAGAACAAGTGCCACAGAGCCAGATTGCTTGTGAAATGCAACAGGTGAACTACTTCAGCATAGCTGGCTGCCAGCTTTGCACAGGTAGCTCCGCCTCTGTTAGAGTCATTTACCTGTCACCTAAGAGACCTGTATCCACCACAGAGGGAAAGAGAGAGAGAAGGGCAGCAACTCTACCAGACTGATCAAGAAAGTGAAGGCTTCTCATGCATCTTCAGTCCAGCAACATGAACGGATGACAAATGCGCCTATGGGGCTTTCAGTACATTTTGGAGAGGCCTTGGATTGATATTAATCTCCTTGAAAAATGTGACTGTATTTGCATAGTCGAGTCATAGGGAATGTAAATTATGGAGAACATTTTTGCATTTAAAGAAACACGGCTTTGGTCCAAATGTGAAGGCCTGCCCTAAGTAAACAAACTCAAAACAACAGCAAAAACAATACATAATTAATCTATTAACCACGTCTCATTTTATTTACTGTGTGACTTTTTGTGATTACAGTTCAGGTGGGTAGCTGCGTCAGCATGCATAGGCTGCAAAGGAACAAGTAATAGGTTTATTCCATGCTGAAAAAAAGAAGAAAGAGAACACAACGTTTCAGCCGTGGAGCCTTCTTCAGGTGTCTCTCCAAAAGGCATATTTGGACTAAAAAATAATAATAATAATAATGTTTCTTTATTAGGCCTATACAATTTCTTGCATTAGGAATGCATCTTTTTGCATACCCCAGCTTTTCTCCAGGGAGACACAGACACAGAGACAGGGAGAGAAGCTTGGGGTCAGAGTGCAGGGTCTGCCATTGTACAGCACCCCTGGAGCAGTTGGGGTTAAGGGCCTTGCTCAGGGGCCCAACGGAGTAGGATTCCTCTGCCGGCCACAGGATTTGAACCGGCAACCTTCCAGTCACAGGCACAGATCCTTAGCCACAGAGCCACCGCTCCGAATTGTAGGGCTACACATTCTATGGCTTGTATTAATTTACAAGGCCAAAGTTGAATTTGTATTTTATTTCCTGGTATAACGCATAGTGTGTATTTAGACATAATACTGTCATATATCAAAGCAAGCTGCACGTAGTTGTCTCAGCACAGCAGTGCTTGACGTAGTCATACTGTAGGAAAATAAAACACATGGCACGTTCCTTGTTAAGGAACTTGCTACAGCCCGTTAAGGTTATTGAATCTATTCATGGTTTTGTTTAATACATTAACAGAATATTCACAGCACCTCAGATAGCATTGTGAGGTTTTAAAGACTTAATTGAATACATTGAAAAGAAACAGAAATTCCTTATCTAGAATGGAAGAGATAGGTTAAGAAGATAGATTAGGAATAATCATTTCAAATACAGATCAGTTAACAAAACAGGAAAATGCCGAAAACAGACAAACAGAAAACAGACATGTATTTGTTTTGGATAAGCACTATTGGTCAAAGAAGGCTGGACTTGAGCCATTATATTCAAATTCTTGATCTTGTGAGCATCACAAGAAAATATTGTGCAGTGGGTTGTGTCAGTAATATTGTTAGTATTGTCTGTTTGCTAGACCAAGTATAACAATAAAATGCAAATTCAATAAGTATTTACTGGAAAATACATGGAACTGACATCACCTGAACTTACTGCAATATAAACACGAAAATGTGTTTCAAAACGGGCGAGGTATATATCCACTGAGCAACTGAGGGACCCAGGACCAGGAAGTGAGTGCTGAGGTACTAGTACAGAGAGCTGTCTGTAATTAAATGAAAATTCTTTGAAAAACCAAGGTCACCAAAAAGTGGAGCTCTTATTAACCTAAGGAGTTTTGAAAAGCATACTTATCTTAAAACTGTTACATCCATCTCAATGATCTGCATTCTGCCTGCTAGAGTTACTAATTCGGCTTAACTTTTTGCTTTACACATATTTAAATTATTTATTTTATTCGATTTTATATTTATATTATTAGATTTACCAATACACTGATATGCGAAGACCTGTTAATAGTGGTTAATGGTCTAGAAGTATTGACTTTAGTTGGACATTGTTTGGACAGAAGACATTTAGCAGATTATGTATGAGCAAGATAAAAGAACAACCAATAATTTCATTAATCAGAAATGCATCATTTCAAACTGATATGTTCTTCCTTTATGAAAAATCCAACCGAAACAATGACTAAATTCTAAACATGTCATCAATAACTGTTCATATCAAAGCATTCCAACAAAAGTAGAATATTCATGTTTGGTTTGAATTTCTCAGCTCTCTCATGAATAAGAGACATCTATCCAAATATAGCAAGCTATGATGGAAATTTATGTTTAGACAGATACTTATTTGCTCTGTGGACACTGTCTGATCTAGCATCTGAACAGCAATTAAAATAGAACCTTTTTCATACTGTGCATTTAAAAAAATAATGATATCTATGCAAGGGTAACTGGGCGTGACAAGCAAGAAAATACAGTACATCATAAAATGTGCCAACAATGAGTCATGTGTTTTACGTGGTCAGTTAATGGGTTAAAATGTAACTCGGTTCTGATAAACATACAGTATTTACTATAAAACAGATAAAAGAGTAGTTAATGGAAAAAACACTGTAAAGATGTGTTGGAAGTGCATACAAATAAAGAGTAGGATGCCTGAATAAAATGAGTCCCCTTCAACCTACTGGATCAGACGTTTTTTTTCTGCCTGAAAAAATTCATTTGTATATGTTCAGCTCAAAAATCACTCAGATCCAGCGTGCATTGAGTTGTGAAGACTGGTCTGTATAAGATATTGCAAGTTAAACACACTACCATATATGCATTTATTTGTTTTATTAACCACAAAATCACAATAGGTTGCATCTTCTTGAAAGAAAGTAAAACAGCAAAAAAGTATTTTTTAATAGAGATTATCTCACAAACTCTTCATACCATTGTGCAAATGGAAAAGCTTAATATAATATTTAGAATTTCAGAAGAATTGACCTATTTTACAAAGTAAAACAAAAACTCTGAGAACAAGATCATTAGAAGACTATTGAACTACTGTTCCATTGGTATCATGATAAAGTCTCCCTTTGGCAAAAAGATTTTACATTGACTCATGCCATTTAATGTGGGTTTCATCTGCAGACAACATTAAATACATTTCAGTCATGAAGAACTTTTTATCCAGGTCAAAATAATGCAGGATAAGATTTTGATTGAAAGCTGAAAAGAAACAATGATGGTGGACAGCCTTGTTGTGAGTTTAATCTGGTTAAGCAAGAATGTTTACCAGCAAGAAGTAATGACAATACTGTCCATTCTATGTAACAGATAAGGGGACCAATATATAATGAATATATTTCTCTTTCTTACCAGTTTAGGAACTAAAGGAAGGGATTATGTTTCTACTCTGTACTTTGCACACACAAAAAGCTTGTTTCTTCTCTTTGTAATACCATTGTTCCATTCTGAATGTACTTTTTTGCAGATTTTGCCGAAGGAATCGTGTGCCACCCAAATATCCCTAGGTTCAGATTCTGAGCTTAGTACTCAGGAGATCACAGGAGCTCTTTGCTGTTGGACCTAAATTATTAGGGGGTGTAATCAAATAGCCAAGTTAATATCCTGAAAGGGTTTAGCAAACTGATATACTAAGAGATTAATGGTGAAACTAAGACATCAAGACAGCAATTGAAGTTAAGAGGCAGAGCATTTTAACATTTAAAACAAATGACACTTCTTTCGGCAAAGGGTGGTTGGTATCAGGTACAAACTGAGACACTGGTTGAAGCTGTTTCCCTGGGATCTTTTAAGAAATAGTTGAATAATGCATAAATAGCTAGCAGCAAATAAGTAGAACAGGGAGAATGGCCTCTTTCTTTTGGTCATTGTCATTTGACTTCATATTTTCTTAAATGTACTTCTTTAGCTGTTTACATTTTGTTATGCATAACTTCAAAAATAATATCAAACATTTTGTTGTCATCAAGTTGAACTGTGGCTTTGTACAGTACATTTAGTTTGATTCTGTGTTCTCTAAAGTAAAAAAAAAGAGATTCACTATTTTATTTACACGAGTAAATGTTGTCTCAAAATACTTTGGTTGCATAATTGGCACCCTCTCTGCAATTACTCTAATCTCTGGAAAAATTGAAAGTTTTGAATGTTCTCACAAAAAAGGGATGAACTTCATGATCCTTATCTTAGAGCTATGCTCTATGCTAATATTTCTGAAACTCCAGTGAAAAACATTTTTATCTGCAATCTGCCCATATTGCTTTGCAGTAAAACTGCATCCTGGTGCACATCCATATGTAAAACTTTATACCACCTATTCTTGCGATTGAAACTATTTGTTACCCGTGATAGCTTTCTTGTTGAATTGTCCATCTATTATTGTGTTGATATTGTGAACAGTCCTGTTATTTAAATTGTTGTAGTTGTAGTTTTAAGTGAATAGGTAGCTTGCTTTCATTCACTTTTTAATGTCTACATAACTTATGCTCTTAGACACAAACACTACACATGTATGCATTTGTAGTCAGGATCTTCTTTCTTTCTTTAATACTGTATGTCTTTGTTTCAGTATTCAGCCTGTTCTTTAGTTACATCCCCCAGGGTCAAAACAAATGAAGAACGTGGAAGTTCTGGTTAGGCAGGATGATTTTCTGGAGTAAAGAATTAGCAGTGATGTCATACCAGCTGGTAAAACAAGCTCTTTAGTAAAGGGCAAAATGCCCACATGGAGGATGAGCCTGTGCTTAGATCTAGCCTTTACTATACTGTACATAGCACCTAACAGCTAAAATATAGAATATGAACTGAGTGTTAATGCACCAGACCTTTTGTTAAAAGAGTCTGAATTTTAAATAAGGGTCTGATATAAAAACACTATTTGAAGTGGCAGAGTAATGAAGTCAAGAACTCTCAGTCAAGGGGGCTGACATGTCTTGTAGTGGTTTGCCCATCATGGACAGAACTGGGAATACACAGAGCATAAAGGGAAAACAATGAAACACATTCTGATTGTTTTCACAATGCTCCCACCTGGACATTTCT